ATGAGGGAAATTTTGCCCGGGCAGCGGCACTATCGCCTACTCTTATATCGAATTCCAACTGCCAAGGGATCTTTTACGTGCTTCCAATGTATACATTCGTATCATCCGAAGGACTAGACAGCTGTCCTTGTCAGGCCCTCCGTTCTGCACCACTGACAAGGGGAAACCACGTCGGAAAATCCAAATGAACTTTCTCGGCCAATGCAGGGATCGAACACCCGACCTCCAGGCTAGCGAGCCAGCGTCTTAACCACCTAGCCACCGTGGCTCCCGATTTTACAAAGGAGAAAGGCTATAAAACTTGACCTGAACTTAGTTCTCACAAGAAAGCAATGGGGTGACCATTCGAGGTATTTCACGAAGTTTTAGTCATTTTAATTAAAATTTGAAGAAATGGCAAGCAATTTTCGAGTCGTAGCATTACCTGGAACAGACAGTCGCTTGAATGTGGTGACTTAAAAACTTTTCCCGAAGATTACAAAATTGTGGGCGGGGAAATGAAGTAGAACGTGCGTTTCATCTTCTACTTCTCCGCTTGTACAATTTTTACAGGTCCTCATGTTTTTTTATGCCCTATTGTCTCTATTTCAAGCTTATAATAATGACATGCGCTATGTCTACTTTCAGTTTGTAAATTACATTGAAATCAAGCTACTATACCGGGAACAAGATAATAGATGAATCCAATCTGAACGACAGATCACCCTACCTGCAAAGAACCATTTAATTTTCGTACGTTAGTTACGTACGTAGAGGAATCCAGCAGTATTGATTGATGACGCCGTTTAAAACAAATATCGAGATCTTTGCCCAGGTAAAATGAATTGATAATTAACTAATGTTATACTGAGTATTATATAATATCTACAGTGTGTATAGTGTAAATACGCGTAAGCTCGAGGGCAATATACATGTATGTCATATGTATCGCCAAGTATATTTTGTATGTAAATGGTTGTAAAAATTATTTAATATCTTTTTTTACCTCATTATTTAAGGAGATAATTGGTGTAAGGCAGGCCTACATTATTGACTGTGGATTCAGTTATTGGAAAATAATAGATTTCATAATAAGACTAAGCTACTTTTTTTTTTCATTGTAATGTAGCAACGCCGTAACTATTTACTGCGTAGTCTCTACAATCTAGCCCCTAGACCTCTAGCAAGTTAACCCCGAGAGCGACAGTTCGGGAGAAACACATGGTTCAATTTTATTTCAATAATTCGCTTGCGCGTAGGGGTCTTTAGCAGTGGGAGGAAACCGCAGGACCCGGAGAAAACCCACGAGGTTGGACAGGCGGACCCTACTCCTTGTCACGTAAAACCGGGGATTCGAAACCATACCAGTTGACTCAATGACAGGCCTTGTGATACAACGCGCACGTGCTAACCACTCGGCCATCCACTCGGCCATCCACCCCGACCCCCCGTTCATATTGGATTATTTTAAAGCAGACGGACCCCCAGTGTCATATACACCTGCGTGACATTAATTTGTACGTCGAAGAAATCGGTAAGCGTGTAAAATATGCCCTGCTGGACTTCATAATAAAACAAGGGCTAGTTTCGTTTTCGTTCTAACCGTAACTATTTACATTGTAGTCTCGACAATCAAGTTCTTTAATCTCTAGTAAAGACCGTAACTATGCTGTGCAGGTTGAACCGAATGGCGCGTACCAAGAAACAGTAAAGTGACACGTTTAGTATATGCGAATGTATATTATAACGTCGTGCATACGTACATTCATTGATAAGCTGCTTCGTGTGGTATAGAAATAAGATACATAGCTACAATGATCACATGATATAGTGTGAGGGGGGGATCTGTTATCTTAAGTAATACATACATAACAAATGTAATATTAATAGTTTATTTTTGGAAATACCAATATAACTGCCCTACTTATATTAGAGTTGGGGATCACGGTGTCTAAGTTGGTAAGGCGCTGGCTTGCTAACCTGGAGTTCAGGTGTTCGATCCCTGCATTGGCCGAGAAAGTTCATCCAGATTTTCCGGCGTGGTTCCCCCCTTGTCAGTGATGCAGGACAGAGGGCCTGACAAGGACAGCGGTCTAGTCCCTTGGAAGAGACGAAAAACCGAGGTCCCGTGTATACATTGGAATGCACGTAAAAGATCCCTTGGCAGTTGGAATTCGATATAAGAGTAGGCGATAGTGCCGCTGCCCGGGCAAAATTTCCCTCATAGCACACTGTATGGCGTATGCCCGTCTTCATTAGCCCAGCAATAGGAGCAGAACAGTAGGACGTTAAACCCCATTTCATTTCATTTCATTTCATTTCGCAAGCCATATTACATCGAGGACAATGTATATCTATTCTCTTAATGGTGGACAAATTTTTCACAGGAGAGGGGGGTTGGTTCGAAACTTTTGCACCCCCCCCCTCTAGTTACGGGCTTGATTACATCTATAGCTTGTACGGATTAGTTTAATCTTCAAAGTGTTAATAGATATAACTGCCATGGATAAGAAATAAAGAAAGGGGGAGGGAATAAAACAAAGGGTCTATGCTCACTGTCCATTCAGAAAAAAAAACCTCGACAGAAGACTTTCGGCCTACCGGTCTCAGTTTTTCTTTTTCTCGGGTTATTTTTTTCAGTCTTTCTTTCACCAGCATAACCTCAGTCTCGTGCTTTATCCTACGCACAAAACATCGCTACCATAATTTAAGGTCATTCCAAAGGAGGTGGGTTAAACGGAACATACATTGTATACCAATATGTTTTGTAACTGGCAAATTTGGGTTTAAAAGATGAGATAAGTTATAATTAAAGATATTGAAAATCAATGGCCGTTGAATTGGCGATGTTTTGTTGAATTTATTAGTAAAATAGTGACCGCTGACCGCGTTAGAGGAGTGACCGTTGAAACAGTAGAATTTTTACGGGGGGAATTAATCGTGATGCCCGTTGCACGCGTTGAACAGGTGCGTGTTTAGTAGAGGTTAAATTACTTAAAAATCGCTCAGGGGGGATTTTTTGGTGCTCGTTGAAGCAAGTGTTCGCTGATTAGGAGTGCACGCCGGAGCAAGTTCTACTGTATAGAATGAATAATCCAGCCTCTGATAGATGAAATAAGTGATAATTAAAGATATTAAAAATCAATGGGATCGATATATAAAGTGATTGATCCAGCCTCTGATAGATCCCGTTTACTACCAGAAAATTGAGTCAGTAATGGGAGTTACCTTTAGACCATTAATATCCATATTTCTTTACTGCACACCATAATTAATCAATCTTTCACTTTTTTTTTTATGCAACTCGGCGTCTTTACTTTACGCTATAATTCTGCGAATTGATTGGTTCGTCTATTTTTCGATTCCCCGGTTGTGCGTGACAAGGTGTAGGGTCCCCTGTCCAACCTCGTAGGTTTTCTCTGGGTCCTCCGGCGTCCTCCCACTACGCACGCGCAAGCGAATTTTTGAAATAACATTGAACCATATACGTTAGCCTCTCTTTGTCTCTCTGTCTCTCTCTCTCTCTCTCTCGAGACTAACATAGGGTTCATTTTTATTTTAATAATTCTCTTGTGCGTATGGATTTTTAGCAGTGGGAGGAAATCGGAGGACCCGAAAAAACCCACGAGGTTGGACAGGCAACCCTACTCATTGTCACGTATAAAACGGGGAAGCGAAACCACGCCAGTTGACCTACTGACAGACCTTATGATACAGCGTGCCCGCGCTAACCATTCGGCCATCCACCCCCTTGTGAGACAGGGGTGGGGGGTGGGGGTGGATGGCTTAATGTTTAGCACGTGCGCGCTGTATCATAAAGTCTGTCATTGAGTCAACTGGCGTGGTTTCGAATCCCCGGTTGTACGTGACAAGGAGTAAGGTCGCCTGTACAACCTCGTGGGTTTACTCCGGGTCCTCCGGTTTCCTCCCACTTCTAAATACCCCTACGCGCAAGCGCATTATGGAAATAAAATTGAACCATATGTTAGTCCTGAAATGACCTGGTTTGTGTCGAGTGGACGTTACACCCCATCTCCCCCCCCCCCCTCTCCCTCTCTCTCTCTCTCCCTATATATATATATATATATATATATATATATATACATATATACATATATATATATTTATGCGCCCACACGTATTTTTGACGTATATGGCGGTCACTCTGTCCGGTGGTCCGTCCGTCCGTCCGTCCTTCAACAATTGGCTTGTGAACGCGATATAGGCTACAGTTTTTGACGAATTGGATGTGACGCATTGTGGCCATGACAGGACCAACCCTATCCATGTTCAGCATAACGCGACTTTCTTTACTAGAGTTATGTCCCCTGTTGCTGAAACCTAGAGATCGCGCTAGAGGCTAGAGTTTTTAACGAATTCATTCCGAAGCATTCAGAAGTTATCCCCCTTTACCAGAAACCTTTTGAAGGCGATAGAGACAACAATTTTTAAAGGACTCTTTTCAAATTTAGTGTGACGCATTGTGGTCCCGAGAAGACGAATCCTATTCCAGATTTATCCGTCTGTACCTAAAACCACATAATCTCGACCGATTGGCTATAGATTTTGACCGGTCCTTTTCAGATATTCCGAAAACCTTGTGAGCGCAATAGAGGCTTACGTTTTTTACGGATTCTTTTCAAATTTGTTGTGAAGCATAGGGGTCATAAGAGGACGAACCCTATCGATTTTCAGTGTACCAGAGTTATACCTCTTTGCCAAAATGATTGTGAACACGATAGAGGGTATACTTTTAACGTGTTTTGCTTTTAGTGTGAAACATTGGGGTTATGAGCGGATCAATCCTTTCTATTTTCAGCGTAGTATCCTACTACCTTCCGACCCTGGGTTATCTCCCATTTTGCCGAAAATCTTTCTAACACCATAGAGGCTATTTTCGAATTGATTTGAAGCACTGGTGACATAAGAAGGCGAATGCTATCTGCCGATACGTAACCGCCATTACACACTCCAATCTCTGGCTAGTTTATTTTATTTACAGTGCTAAACATATTTGTTTTCAGATTATAGAACAAAAGCACCATTGGTTTTGAGCAGTAGATGTAACAGAAATCATGGGTTAGTATATCATTATTATTTTGAGAGAGAGAGAGAGAGAGAGAGAGAGGGAGTTGGTAAAAATCATAATGGGTGAAGTCAAGTGCAAGCGAATTATTGAAATAAAATGGTATCATATGCTAAAGGAGCTAAATCGCTAATATTTGGGACCTACAAATTGACATAAATGGGTTGCAACATATATAATAATGTGATATGAATGTAAATAAACTGATTTACATTCAATCGTTTCCGTTTTTACTCTAATTTCAAAACAGTTATGTTCGAGGAAATACGCCAGAAGTGTCAATCTCTAGCGTCTGGTTATTCCAGTTTACACCGGAATGTTTATTTTGTCTTTAATCCAGAAAAGCGTCGAATGAACGTTATACACCATCTGTCTCTCTCTGTCATCTAATATCATTACTCAATCTTATAACCTGTTCATCTTTTCATACACACAAATTTGAAATTTCTGTTAAAATAAATGATCAAATTATCGAAGTAGGATACTCGAAAGCCATGTTGAAATTTGTCTCTGTTGAAGGACAGTGTTGGTGTCAACGAATATTGCTAAAAGAACCGGTTAAACACATTCCTAATATAATTTAACACAGATATCTTTGCTACGTTTGTTCCTTAGACCAAGAGTTATTTTACAAACTGTTTGTTTTAAACATACATTATGCATGAGCTAAATCTGCCTATTACAGGTCTTCTTTTAGCTTCAATTGTTATATTAACTATTAATTAGACATTTATTAACATGAAAAGACCTTAATCAACTCTCGATGCCATCTTATGTGTCGTATTTTTACTGGATTTGCTGCTCAACGCTCATTGGTGATTTAATCCAAAAATGGATAATCTAAACTATGTTGTTTTTTTTTTTATCGCAGCGGCTTTTGTAATAATAATCGAGGCTACGCTTAAAATTAAAACGCTAATATCTCGGCTCAGAGTGGAGCAATTTGACTGAAATTTTCAGCATTTTCCCTTTACATTATCGAGTTTTTAACTATTATATAGCGACAACTGCCAACTCTTTATCGTATATTCCACAATGCTCCTTTAATATAAGTAGAATGCTTTACTTATATAAAAAACGACAGTCGGTATTATTCCCCAACAATTTAGTTGAAACACTTACCGCTCTTGTACTGACCAACATTAAATAATATTACACCCTTTTGTTTAATTAGAGGAGGAAAGTTCAGATGAAGAATTTTCTTCTATGAGATTACCAAGTCTAATAGATCAGTTAAAAAGATTACTGGAACAATATTCAGATGGACAAATACTGAAGGTAACCATTTTCTTCTTTGTTGTGTTGTTGTTCTTAGTGTTTAACCTCCGCTTCCACCGAGGGTGATATCGCAGACAAGTTGTTTTTATTTTCATTGTTTTTATTATCTTAGCGCACTCGCAGGGGTCTTTGCTGTGGCAGGAAACCGGAGTATCTGGAGTAAACCCACGAGGCTGAGAAGGCGTCACTATCTCCAAGCCACATACGCGCACACCAGGGATCGAAACCACAGTCGCAAGCCAGAGGTGACCGGCCAGCGGGAGCTTGAAGGGTGACACTCTACACCACTAGGCCATCTCAAAGTTGCCTTTTATACTTGGATAATGGCAGAAGACTGTCCATTATGTAAATATAAAGAACAACTCAGGGGCGTTAGCGTGCCAGAGTTATGGCCCTTGATCATTTCAAAATATCTTGTGGATGCTCTACAGGCTAAAGTTATCATCTGATTGATTCAGATTGATACAGAGGGTTTAAGGGATGCACAGGGTTTAAGGTCTTGAGACAAACAAGTATATTGATTTTCAATGAATTTTGATAACAGCTAAATCCATGATATTAAATGTTTCGTATACTAAACCTTAGCATGGGACAGATTTTCTGATAATTACTTAATGAGTTGTTACTCTAAATCAGATTTTAGTGTATTATAAATTTTTCATTCCCGAAAGAAAGTAAAAATATGCGACAACTCTTGTTGACTGCACGGACGATTTAGCTGCTGTGGGCGTATGTTTCGTTGCCTGGCAACCTATCTTTAGAATTTTTGTATATCTCCGTCCTACTTTAAATATATACACATTAATAAGGGCATGCGATAAAGGGGCTTATTGATTTTCAACGATTTCCGATAATTGTTGCCAGAGTTGTGTCCCTTGATCACTTTGAAAAAATATTGTGGCCGCCCTAGAGGCTGAAGTGAATATCCGATTGACTTCAAAATTTATACACAGTGTTTATGGTCATGTGACAAAGAATCATATTGCTTTTCAACAATTTCTGATAATTACTGCCAGGTTTATGGACCTTGATCAATTTGAAAATTCTTGTGGACGCTCTAGAAGCTAAAGTTAATATCCGAATGACTTTTAATTCATATGCAGTGTTTCAGGTCGTGAGACGAGGAAGCCTATTTTCAACGATTTCCGATAAATACTGCCAGAATTATGGCATTTGATCCATTTAAAAAATCTTGTTAAGTCTCTAAAGACAAAAGTTAATATCTGATTGTTTCCAGAGTTATGGCCCTTGATATAAATTGTTTTGTATACTAAACGTTAGTGTAGGGCAGAACTATTAGAAGCCCAAAAAATACTAATGATTTTAGTGTCTTGTAAATGTTTTCATTACTGGCAAAAGAAAAAAATATGCGACAACCCTTATTGACTGCTTGGATGACATAACTGCTGTGGGCGTATGTTTCGTAGCCTGGCAACGCATCTTTACCGACTTTGATGAAACTGAAAATGTATGTTAATAAGATATCGGTTCTTGCATTATGGCCCCGGATTGTAGGAAACCTCTAGAGGTTTCAATTTGTATCCGATTTAAAACAGAAAATGTTCAAATATATCACCAGTACACAATGAAGGTTGAGTTCGAATTTCGTGAAACTTCCCGTCAAAATGGCCACTCCCCGTACACAAGTAGCGTAATACCAAGGTTGTGGGTCCTCTGGAGGTCACAGTTTGTATCCAATTTTCACGAAACTTGGGGTTACTTTTGAATTTCGCGAAAATCGGAAACTTCCCGTCAAAATGGCCACTTCCTATACACAAGCATGGCAATGTAATACCAAGGTTGTGGGCCCTCTAGAGGTAGCCATTTTTATCCAGTTTTGACGAAACATGTACTATAGGTTTCACTGCCAGGTACTGCAAAACGTTTTCTGCTAAGACTATGCATAGTTAATCAGTTTGATTGCTCAATACTTTGTCAAAAAGAGAAATGTGCAATGAATTAATATGTGTCGTCTATTTATTTTGGGATTTTAGCTGGGGACATCTACATGTATGTCTAGAAGACATTTTAAAATAAGTTATTTATTGCAGGAGTTAATACAAAACGCTGAAGATGGTGGAGCTACAAGAATGAAAGTTATGTTTGTAAATAAACACCATCAACCAACAACAACTTTAAAAATGTGGAAAGAAAATCCAATACAATTTGCCATGAAGGTAAAATTATTTATACACATTGAAACATTATGTAAGAGCTAAATCTGTCTATTGCAGGTCTTTCTTTAGGCCTGAAATGTTTTCTAAATTATTAATTAGACATTAATTAACCTATCTAGATCATAATCAACTCTCGATGGCATCCCTTCACGATTTAACGATGAAATGGATAATCGAGACTATGCTGTTTATCTTACTGACTTTAGTAATGATGATCGAGGCTTGGCGAAAATTTCAATCGCTTAGTTCTCGGTTCATTGTGGATCCATTTGAATGAAATATTCCGCAAATTGCCTTTACATTATCTGGTTTTTAACTATTATAGTGAGAACTGCCAACTCGTTTTTGAATCTCCCATAATGTATCTTTAACTTATCCAGACCATCTTTATTGGATTAGGTTCCGATTTGCTGTTCGACTTTAATCATGAAATTGGTAATCGAGACTAAATTTTTTTTATCGTACGAACTTTAGTGATGATGGTCGAGGCTACGCCGAAATTTCAATCGCTAAAATCTCGGTTCAGAGTGGACCAATTTGACTGAAATTTGCAGCAAATTACCTTTAGATTATCTAGTTGTTCCCGCCTTTCGAAGAACAATGTGATAGTCCCGAAATGACCTAGTCTGTGTCGAGTGGACATTAAACTCTCTCTCTCTCTCTCTCTCTCTCTCTCTCTCTCTCTCTCTCTCTTCTGTATGGACTGCGCCGGCGATTTACCTGCTGTGGCTTGAGTTTTGTTGAACAGTGTGAATATATAGTATTATATAAATCTGATTAACAGAACACAGTTTTTATGGGATACAATCACTAGTTTATTCTAAAAGCACGACGTATCCCATAAAAACTGTGTTCTGTTAATTTGTACCCTGATCGCTAAATGCCACTTAAAGAATATATATAAATCTGGTCTGTTTTTAATATAGGGACCAGCATTGTGTGTATATAACGATGGTATATTTACTAAAAAAGACTGGGAAGGTATAGCTGCTATACAGTGTAGCGGGAAAGAACATGAACCCCTGAAAGTTGGACGATTTGGACTTGGATTTAAATCCGTCTTTCATATTACAGGTATGCGTTTTTATACCCCACATTGAAATGGAGTCGTATTTTATTCTATAATTACTTCCGGAGTTATGACCCTTAATTGATGACTTTGAAAAATCTTGTGCAGGCACAAGTCATTACCCGATTGACTTTAGATTTATGTACAGTGTTTATGGCCACAATTGACTATTGGACTAAAATAATGTATACATAATCAAAGTTTAATTATTTTATTTTGTGAATTATACTCAGTTTTTAGTTTAGTTTAGGAAGCATTACTCCACTATTTTTGTTGATCAATTGTCGTTACAATTTATAGATGTAATGTCAATCATATTTCATAATTATGTATTATAGATGTGTGTGTGTGTGGTGGTATGCATAATTTCTGTGACCAATTTCATCCGATTGCTGTAATTTATATTTTTCAAGAGATTATTTTCGGTATTCATAAGAGAGGGAATGAGAGAGAGAGAGAGAGAGAGAGAGAGAGAGAGAGACTAGGTCTTTTCGGAACTAACACACGGTTCAATTTTATTTCAATAATTCGCTTGCTCGTAGGGGTCTTTAGCAGTGAGAGGAAATCGGAGGACGTGGAGAAAACCCACAAGGTTGGACAAGCGACCCTACTCCTTGTCACGTACAACCGGGGAATCGAAACCGCGCCAGTTGACTCAATGTCAGACCTTATGATACCCCCCCTCCCCTTACACACACACATACCCCCATATCTCGAAAACGCCTCCGCAAACGCCTGATCACCACCCAGATTCTGAATCTAAGCAAACAACTGGTCTAGGAAAACTTGGTCTCACAGATTCAAACCTCGGCTGGCGATTCCCCCCTTCACCCATCGGACTAATCTGTGTATAATAATTATAAACTGTAGTAAATGTGTCGTTATATTCACAGATACTCCTCTCATACTAAGTGGAAGTAAACTAATGATAATAAACCCAGCAACTAATGTACATGATGTTGTCGTCACTAAAAAACTCAGAAAAATAGATAACAACGGTAAGAAAGAAATGCTCGATATGATGTCTGGAATATTTGGATTTTCACCAGAAGTCTTTCAAGACGGTTTCAATGGTACAATATTTTGGTTTCCATTGAGAACTGTAGAGTCAAGTTTGAGTAAAACTATTTACGATGAGAGAAAAATTCGTGACATTGTTCATGGCTTCAAATCTCTTGCACCATCAATTCTACTTTTCTTAAAGGAAATCGAAATGATAGAAATTTACGAGAAACAGTCAGAGACCAGGAAACTGTTTGAAGTTTGTCTGGACGGTGATGATGAGCTACTGTTAAGACAAGAGAGGAAACGCTTTGTACAGGAGATAGAACACTTCAGTGGACGGTTTGCTTCTCAACCAATTAAAAATATTTTGAAAGCAAAAGTGAGATGCGAAGGATTTGATTGGATGAAAATGGAAACCTCAGAAGATGAATGGTTAGTTTTTAATCAGTATCATGGTGGTCATGTCAGTGCTGAATTAATGAAACTTGTTGAAGATGATGATTGGCCTTATAGTCCTTATGTAAGTATCGCAGCATGCTTATCTAAACCAATCACAAAAGGACACGTATTCTGTTTCTTACCTTTACCCTTAGAAGGTCAAAGTTTAACAGGTTTACCAGTTCATGTTAATGGATTCTTTGCTTTGAGCCAAGACCGCCACCATTTAAGATGGAACTCTTCTGAGCAAGATAGAAACAACAGCCACACAGAAAAATCAATCCTCTGGAATCAATATCTGGTAAAAGAAATTCTACCACAAGTCTACACCAACCTGATATTACAGCTTATAGATGATGAAATGATCAGAGCACAACCATTAACCTGTTTAGAAAGAAACCAGAGAGCAGATCTAGTTTATGGAACTTTACCAAACAATGAAAATGTTACAGATAATTGGAAAAATATAATTGATCCGATTTTCCAACAGTTGTATTCTACAGCATGCATGTTCACTAAACGGGAAGGGGGAATATGGGCAGAACCACAAAATACAATCTTTACGAAACTTCAAGACGAAAATATGATAGATTCACTTGAGCATGCGTATCTTCTTTGTGGTAGAAATTTCTCAAGGGCTCCCATTTGTATTTTAGATGCATTTCAAAAACATGGGTCAATAACATTTGTTTCTGCTGAACATTTGAGAGTAGAACTTTTACAACATTCGGTAGTGTGTAACCAACTCGACTTAAAGGACAGATTAAATCTGCTTCATTATATTTTGGACAATGATGTTAATTGCTTACAAGGTTTGACGCTTCTACCACTAGCAGATGGTAATTTCTGTACCTTTACAACTGGGAGTACTGAAACAGTGTATATATTTGAGGATGTTGATGACATGAATATGTTTCCAGGACTAGAATCTCATTTCGTCAAGTCAGAGTTGGGATTAGATTTATATCTCAAGATTCAGAACCAATGTTCAGGTGAAACAGGTGAAACAGGTAGGTATTGGAGATCATACCCAAACCATTGTTCTATTCTAAAGCTTGCATGATGAAATATCAATTAAGGTGTTAATTTTGAACAGAAATGAAATGAAATGGGGCTTAACGTCCTACGCCATGCAGTGTGCTATGAGGGAAATTTTGCCCGGACAACGGCACCATGACCTACTCTTATATCGAATTCCAACTTTCAAGTGATCATTTACGTGCACGCCAATGTGTACACGGGACCTCGGTTTTTCGTCTCATCCGAATGATTAGACAACTGTTCTTGCCAGGCCCTCCGTCCTACATCACTGACAAGGGGAACCACACCGGAAAATCTGACCCCCAATTTTGAAAAGTATTCTATACTTAGATTAACAGGAACTTGTTAAAACTGCTCCTAAAGAAATAATATAATTGAGAATATTTTACTATAAAAATTGAATTTATTGACCTTTTCAGGCAAATTTCAGATAAAGATATTCCATCCTAATCATTTTCCAAACCTCATAGACCTGTGTATAAAGCAAAACCAATGGCAAGGAATAAAATTGTCGAAATCTTTAGAAGAATGGTTGTATTTGGTATGGACATACATTGGCAAGTACAAAAACTTAATTATCGAGAAAATTAAAAATTTGGATTTATTACCATATAAAGACCCAGGAACATTTGAAGAGCGACTCACAAAAACATCAAACATATCAATATTGGAATCATATACAGGCAATGATGTCCTAAACGAACAGCTTAGTGGAGCTTTAGAGAAGTTGAATATAAAGGTCTATACATCATTACCAGAATATATATCTACTGTTGTAGTTGGTAGATTTGTGGAACATCCAACACCAGAGGGGATAGTTAATTGTTTAAGAAGAATAACAGAAGATGATGAAGCAATGGAGAGGAGTATTAAGGATTTCAATTCTAGAAGCTCCGTGTCAGAAAAGAAGGCTCTTCTCTTTAAGTTAAATTCAATTGAAAATATTTCAAACATAAAGAAACTTCTAAGACGACTGCATTTATTTTCATTGACCCCTGGAGCAGAAATGGATGTTTGCTTGAATGATGTGAATGAAATATTTGATGGAAGCAAGGAACTACAAATTCCAATTAAGCCTCGCGAAAAGATGATTCAGTGCTCTGATAAATTTTCGGAGTCATTGCATGTGGCAATAAAATTAGAAGGAAAACAAAAATCATTTTCAGAAATAATTTCAAAGATTCTCCAGGATCTCTGTAGTGAACACTCTTATTCCATGAAGGAAAAATTACAATTTATGGAGTTCTTTGTTGAAAATATAAAAAATTTTGAAGATGATCAACTGAAGATGAAGTTAGCAAGAAATATTCAATTTATAGAAAACCTAACAGGCCAGTATTGCTGTCCATCAGAGTTGTTTGATCCAAAACCCAAGCTTCTTCAAGATTTGTTCCAGTATGAAAAGTCAGTATTCCCGTCCACTAGATATGATGATAATCTAAAACATCTTAAAAAACTTAGGTTAAGAAGAGTTTGTGATATCGAAGATAACGAAATCTTGAAAGCAGCAAATTTCATCCATGAACAATATCTGAATAATGGACAATTAGATTTATCTAAGATGTCTAGAGCTCTGTTGGAGTATTTAAATACAGATGGAAACAGATTGAATGTTGACACTATCCAAATTTTGAGTACTCTTACCTGGTGTCCAGTTTTGGACAATCGACCAGACAGTTATCCTGAAAAGTTGGAATTTGCAGCCGAAGATCATACCAATTTACTGAAAAAACCATGTGAGCTCATTCACTACGATTATGTTGACCTAGTTGGTGGAAAACAGTTTATTGCCAGAAAAGACATGCCTGCATGCTTAACTAAATTCCTTATGGACATATCGAGGATGGCAGATTCGGTTGTTGATCAACTGTTGTTTGTATCTAAAGACTTTTCTGAGAGATCTGTCACTGAACAGTCAAAATTTATGACAGTTTTAGAACACATCTATGGATTTCTCACCGAACAGGAGATATTTTCAGGAATGTCAAAGAAACGCGTGGTCTGGACTGGTTCGGAAGGTAAATTTCAGAGTCCAGAAGATGTTTGGTTGACTAAACAGCAATCGGATATTCCTCTTCAGCCGTACATGTTTTCCGTGCCAGATACATTTTATGATTTTAAAGACTTGTTTCTGGGGATAGGTTGTAAAGCAGAGCAATCGAATGAGGTGTTGTTAAAAACATTACATCAAATTAAAGACAAGCATGACAACGATAACGGACATGAACCACAAGAAGTGGTGGTAAAAGATTTATCCCTTGTTATCCAGATTGTAAATACTCTAGCCAGTTCAAAAGAAGATGTAAGTAAAGTCATACTATTGCCAATCTTTACCAAATCAGATGATGTCCTAGAATTAAAACCAGCACAAGAATGTACTGTATGTAACGAGGATTGGTTGAGTGATTTAGTTTCTACATCAACGCAAGCAGAAGCTGACTCAATTTATTTCATCCATAAAAGAATTTCTAGAGACACAGCTGAAATATTTAAAGTTCCTCTCCTAACAGATCGTGTTCTACGTAATGCTGAACAATTTGACATGAATTATGGCCAAACTGAACCTCTAACTACCCGACTTCACAATCTTCTTAAAGACTACACTGACGGGTTCACAATACCGAAAGAGATCATTCAAAATGCGGATGATGCTGGAGCTACAACTGTTAAACTATTGTATGATGAAAGGATAGTAAAAGAAGCTCAAACATGTCTCTTTAATGAAGGCATGATTCCATGTCAAGGACCAGCCTTCTGGGCATATAATGATGCCACGTTTACTGAAGATGATTTTAGAAACATTACCAGACTAGCAGGAGCTACGAAGAAAGACGATAGTATGAAGATAGGAAGATTTGGTTTAGGGTTTAACTCCGTGTATAATTTGACTGATGTTCCAAGCTTTCTTTCTGGTGAAACCTACGTTGTGTTCGACCCACACGAATCTCATCTTGGAAGAAGTGGATTAAAGATCAATCTTAATTTTCCTGGGAACCAGTTAATGCGGCATAAAATGAAGGGTCAGTTTTATCCATTTGAAGGCGTTTTTGGATGCAATATCGTGAACAAAGACCGAGTCCATTTTAAAGGCACGCTGTTTCGCTTACCACTAAGAAATTCAGACGAAGCTGCTAAAAGCGAAATAAAGGATATAAGCTACTCTAAATCTGAAATGAAAGAGTTTATTAAGAAGATAGTAGAAGGAGCCGGTAACTTACTTTTATTTACACAGCATGTGAATAAGATTGAACTTTATCACCTGGAAAAGAATTCTTCATCTGGAAAACCTGAATTATTAATGGAAGTATCAAAATCGTCAAACCATTCTGGACCGTCTGTTCTTCAGACTTTAACTGAAGCAATAAATGATGATGCCTACTGTACCGAGATTATAAAGATCACCCTGTCAATAACACACTGCTCTAAGAGCCTTTGCGGCATAGATGAATTAAATATTACTGTTCCATATATAATCAACTGGAGTTTTGGTCAGGGGTCTTCAATACATGAAGCTAAAAAAGATGAATTCAAAGGTCTTCTACCTGTAGCCGCCACTGCTCTTACTGAAGAACCTCTACAGAATATTCCAAGTTTCTACAAGGAGTCACATTTATTCTGTTTTCTCCCCCTTCCGATTACGTCCAAGTTACCTGTCCATATTAATGCTTCGTTTGCTGTACAATCCAGTAGACGTGATTTGATGTGGAGAAATGAAGATGACAAGGAATCAGAATGCGTCGAAGATAGATGGAATACAGCTGTATTAGAAGATGCTGGGAGTCTAGCATATATACGGATGCTCACTACAATGGCCGCTCGTCTATCACCAGAGGAATATTATAGGTTATGGCCTTCTGTGTATTCCCAACCTAAACATGATAAGATATTAGCAAGGGGAGTTTATAATACTATTTGTAAAGGTGACTGTGCAGTTTTCCCTTCTAACAATGGGATTGTGTCCTTGGAGCAATCTGTTTTCCTTTGTCCAGAATTAACAACAAGTAAAGAAGTTGGAAATATAGCCTTTAAAGCACTACGATATTTTGTTATTGAAGAAAAACAAAAATTATCAGACTTTGCTCCTGATGTTAAAATAGTAGACTTGCCAACAGCCTTGCTGAACAATTTCAAACTAGCTGGGTGTGAAAATCAAATCAATGATCGAATAGTATCCGTAGAGGTTTTTTACCAAGAGATCGTCTTTCCTAATCTAAAGAATTCTTTTTGGCTAAAAGAAGAACTGGACGAGATAATTCTGCATGGGATTTTAGGCGATAATCAAGTTATACGCGATCTCATTGCACTGCACAAATGCATCCCAACAAAACCAAATGGAGAAAGAAAGTTACCTAATGAACTAATACATCCTACAGGAGAACTCACTACACTTTTTTCTGTGGAAGAAGAATGTTTTCCCGAAGATAATAAATTTACAATGAATGATACGTTAAAAGTTTTAGAGAGCCTAGGAATGAGAACAGATGAACTGGAATGGGAACATTTGCCAAAAAGGATACGATCCGTTTTACACTCCGGACTTTCCGAATTGCTGATCAATCGCACTAAAGAGTTTTTAAGATATATGACGTCTACTTGTGACGCTGAACAGAGGTATCAAAAATGCCCAGATGACATTCGCAAAGAACTTTCTAATTTAGAATTTCTGGCATTACAAAGACCACCGTACAATTGGACACTTCCGTGGTACGGTGGTGATAATACAGAATGGCCATTGACATCACCTATAAACGGATATTTACCGGAATGTCGATATCTGGTAGGATGCATAAAACCAATAGTTGATGTAAATAAATATAAATATAACAGTAAAATTACGGATGTACTGAAATGGTTAGGAGTCCGGCATTTAGGATCTGGAATTGATCTTAAGCTAGTGATAGAAAACTTGTTAATAATTTCAAACCATATCATGGAATCTGGGATGAAGTTGGATGTGTATTTTATACTAGATAATGCCTTCCGAGATATCTACAACTATTTGCGTACAGTGGTTGAAGATAACAATGAAGAAGATATTCATTATATTAAACAGTCCTTAGAAAATAAGGCAGTTATTTTGCATGAAAGGACATTAAAAACCGCTGATAAAATGGTGATGGAATTGAGAAATAATCTATCACCCTATTTGTTCGCGGTAGATATAAGATATAAACGGTATAAAGATTTGTTTGTGATTTTGGGTGTTCATGTAGAATTAACTTTGTCTATGCTTATTGGGGCCTTGTTGCTTTTTTCCGAAGAAAAAGACAGTACTAAACTTTCATCAGATGAAATTGACTGTGTAAATAGACTGTGTAACGAATGTGAACGATTGTGTGATCAACAAGCAGTCGATAAGGGTGTGTTTGAGTCCATCAAACTGCCTGATGAACACAGCGAGCTAACATTTACAAAAGACCTTTATTTTGATGACAGTCCATGGTTATCAAATGACCTGGAACAAACGCATCTTCATAAAACATTTTCTCGAAGTGTAGCAGAGCTCATGGGTGTCAAATCAAAACGATCACATGACATTGAAAACTTATCATCCCCTCTATTTTCTGAATTTGGCCAACACGAATACCTTACAAACCGCATCAAAGGTATACTACAGGGATATCCATGTGACCAATCTATACTTAAAGAGTTGTTACAGAATGCTGATGATGCAGGGGCTACAGAGGTGATTTTCATAAAAGACTTCAGACAGCTTGAAACAAACAGTTTACCAGATGATAAATTAAGTCAGATACAAGGACCTGCACTCTGTATATACAATAACACCTGCTTTTCTGAAAGAGATCTGAACGGTATACAAGCTCTGGGTTCAGGAAGTAAACGTGACGAAATGCTTAAAACTGGTCAGTACGGAGTGGGCTTTAATGTGGTTTACCACGTTACAGACGTCCCATCATTCTGGTCAAAAGGTAGTGAAATTGGAGAATTAGTTTGTATCTGCGACCCCCATTGTAAATATCTACAGAGTGCAACTGGACGAAAACCTGGAAGCAAAATTAAAGTTTCTGGACTGAGAGGAAGGTACACAGACTTTATGGAAGGTTATCTACCCAAATTTACGAATAGCTTGGATAAAGGGACATTATTTCGTCTACCACTACGAACGGAAGACATGGCAGCGAATTCAGAGATAAGAAGTGAACAAACAACAACACAAGATATAGAAGATATCATCACAGTGCTTAAAGGGCAGATAATTCCTTGCATGCTCTTTCTAGAGAACATCACAAAAATTAAGATAGCTTCAATTGATCAAAACGGAGATCTAAATATTGAACATGAAGTAAGTTCAAGGATGACTAAGGAAGATACAGAGAAACAGGAAGAATACAACAACTATCTGTGTGAACTATCAAATAAGATGAGTGTATTACAGCCGAACACCTTAAAAGCTCCATTTGAAATACAAATAACCTTAAACTTGGAGGAAACTAAATCTGATAAGATTAAACCGTTTGAGCTATCACATAAGATGGGTGATTTACAGCCGGACACATTAAAAGCACCATTTGAAACACAAATAGCCTTAAACTTGGAAGAAGCTAAATCTGATAAACTTGAACAGTTTGGAAGAAACTTGGAGGAAACTAAATCTAATAAGATTGAACAGTTTGCCATTGTAAAAAGAGTAGGATTTTTACCTGAATCTCAATTTCCCGAAAAACTGAGCAGGGCATATAATAAAGGCATTGTTCAAAAATTGCCACGGGGTGGAGTGGCTATCAATCTCACAGGTGAGGTAAATGGAAATGCATATTGTACGTTACCACTTCCCATTCCAACAGGTCTACCAGTACATATAAATGGACAATTTACTTTAGATCATGAATCAAGGCGGAATTTAAGGTGCGAAAAAGATTCAGTTGAAGGACAGTGGAATGAACATCTAGCGAAATATGTCATCGTTCCAGCTTATATTACAGCTTTAACGTATCTTAAAGAGTATCTCTTGAATTACCGAAAATCGTGGAAACTAAACAAACTAATCCGTAAATTAGAAGCGCGTTTCCCACTCATTGAAAGGGCCACAGACGTATTTTGGAAAGCTTTAACTGAAGAAAGTTATCTGTGGATGGCAGTAAAAGAATGTCAACTGTTTCCAGTAGTTACAAACACTTCCAATAACTTGTCGCGGATAATATGGGTTAATATACAGATTGGAGATGATGGCGACTTTGCTGGATGTTTTAACAGGCTTAAATATTATTTGAAAGAAGTTGGAACACAATCTCAGACATCATATTATAGATCATCTGGAATCAGCCATCAGCTTAGTGTCGGTATTTTAGAAGATAAGCCGGCAAGAAATGATGAACTAAGAGAAATTTTGGTGGAGTTGGGTATGAAGATATTGATCTCCTCTGAAATCATACTAGAACAATTTCAAAAGTCGGGGGTTAATGTTCAGTCTTCAACACCAGAAAATGTGTTGCGGTTTTTGAAATCATTTTCAGAAAATGGACTGCGTAACCGGTGCATAGTTGGTAAGTTACCATGCGACATATCGAATACAGCTTTTAGGAAAACTGGAGCCTTGAGATTGGTATTAGAATTTGTGATAAAAGGTATAAACAAGGACAATGTTAATAGTTTGTACGGAGCTCCCTTATTGCTTCAACAGGACAATACCGTAGACGTTTTCAGTGTCAACAGTAAAGTTATTGTCTCTAAATTCTGTAACCTGTTTCCCGAACATCCATCTTCATTTCTGTCGTCTGAAATAATACATCTATTGGACAAATTTACAGATTCGTTTAACCCGTTAGTAAAGTGGAACTTGCCAGGCTTTTCAAAGTTAGTGAGAACGTCTTCAAAGAAGAGAGTTTGTCTTAATGAAATTGTGACATGGAATGATAAAACACCTGTCAGCGAGGAATGGCTTGACGAAGCTTGGAAATTTATCAGTGGTCATTTACCTGCAAATTTGACCAGGGAAGAGTTAATCTTAAATTTGAATCCCATCGTTAAGTTTTCTTTATTACCGGTTAAAAGAGGTAAAAAAACATTGTTATATCCATTATCCCTTGCTGGCCATATCTTAGATCCTATAGTTTATGGCCGGATCATTCCGGCAAATAAGAAGACAATTGAAGTATTGACTGAACTCGGAATACCAACCCTTAAAAAAACTTCAGGATTTATAAAGTATGAACTTGCAGTACAGATAGATAATCCGTCGGGTATTCTGGAATTAATGATAAACAACATGGACTACATGCCTTCCATAAGCGCTAAACAAGCTGAATGTCTATGGAAATACTTCAGTACCAATATGGAAGATATTAACAACATCCAAAACATTAAAATATTGCCGATTTTCCAGTCATATGATGACCGTATGATATCTCTCAACAAAAATAAAACATACATATGTCTTAACGATTCATGCCGACCTGTTCCTACAGACGGTCTACATCATTGGTCAGATTTGTCAAATATAGAGTTACTACGATATAACCATGATCTCCGCAAACTGTATGAAGATATTACCGTAGAAATTATAGAATTAGGTCCTCTGTATACCAAATATATTTTAAAGAATTTCCATTGTTTCAGACGTGAAGACCAATATATTCATTTAAAGTATATCCGTGATCATCTTTTCACAAATTTGTCGGCTACAGATAAACCTGCCTTGATTTCAGAGCTGAAGAATGTTCGGTTTGTACTTTATAAGGACAAAATGTGGACCGCTTCAAAATTTTATGATAAAGAAAACGAAGTGTTCAAGGTGATGAGGAACCATGTCGATTTCCCATCTTCCCCATTTGATCAAGAAGAGTGGAAGAATTTCATGATCCAGGCAGGTTTGAAAAACGAAGTATCTTCAGAAATGTTTGTAACTTTTGCCGAAATCATCGAACACGCTGGTGTTAATGATACTACTACCGAACAATCACGCACACTTGTCCGTCATTTAAATGATGGAGAAGATGCGTTAAACGAAGAATTTTGTAAACGAATTAAGAATATAAAATTTATTGAGGGCTATCGTTTACCCAGCACGGACTTCAGAAGTCAGATTCATCACCAGTATGGCTGCAGAGAGAACTTCATATGTTTTAATGGTTCTTTCAAATGGATAAAGACTAATTTAGTTTGGACTGAAGCAGATATTCTGCCATCAGATATCATCCTCTCAAGCACCTCTCTGGGGATTAAAACAAAGATCAATAGAAATAATTTTATAAACCACTTGAAGAGAATTTGTGGATCTCTGTCAAATGGAAATCGTTTGAAAGAAATTGACAGAAAACTAATTATAAAGCTATTCAAAAACCTGTATCAGTACATAGATGATAATGAGGACGTGAAGAGAATGCCAGAGCTTAGAACTCTTAATTTAATATTTTTACCAGATGAAACAATAATGGTTAACGCAGCTTCTCTATTAATTGAGTCGTCTAAAGATGAAACCATTAAAGGTCATATTTTTAAGTTCCCTCTTAAGTTTGGTGAATTTTGTGCACTATTTCAAGAACTCGGTGCATGGAAGTCGGCAGTTACAGATTTGTATCTTGGAGTTCTGCGGGATATTTGTACACAGTGTCAAGGCAAAGAACTCAATCCATATGAATCTGGTGTTGTCAAACTATGTATGGAACAACTCATACGCTTATGGGAGAACAAAACAGAAAGCGAAAGTTCTATGACTGAAGAGTATTTATTTCTGCCGAACAGAAATGGAATTTTGACAAAGTCTACTGAATTGATTCTGATTGATAATATTAGCCTTTATCAAAGAGTCGAAAATCTAAGTCTTCCATATTTCATAGGGTTTAATGAGATGGAAATAGAATGTGTAGACCAATGGAGGATTCATAATAATTTTCCTAAAAAGTATCAGATGAAGCCATTACGTAAGGTCGTTAAAGTAACAATTGCACATGAAATCCTGGCAAATGCTATTCAAAACACAATATTTACGAACAAAGTTTCTAACATGTTAAAAGACGAACATGTGTTGAATGGGATAGTGCGATTGGTGCGACACTATAAAGAGGTACACAGACAAATTATTGACGATAAATCAAACAATCTTCTGGATGAAGGGATTCAAACTCTGACCAATATTGAAATATTTGAAGTGGCCAACCTTAGGACGCAAATAATACATCAAGACCAAGCAGTGCCTGGCAGTGAAGAGCCATGTACAATATTCTTTGTAAAGCAGGACAGATCAGAGCAGTGGTCATATTCTTTGTATGTTGATCAAGCTAGGTCAAAAAATAGATTGAACGAATTTCATCGCACATTATCTGAACTATTTCGACGGATATTTAATATAGATATCGGTGGGCACTTTCGTGATATTTGGGAGAGGGCGGTACGCGGAAAATCTTCTGAAACCGAGTCGTATTTGGATGAACAGAAGATAAATTGTTCTAATCCAGGATTTAATTTGAGATATAAGTTATTTCCATCAGTCGGTACAAACATTCCCGAAAAATTTCACTGGCAGTTGGATAACAGTTTCTGTGATTTTGATAAAAGAGAATATGTTGGATATGAAATTTATGATCCCGATATTGGGGACACAAGTGACGATGGAATCACCGTGGATCCCCCATATTATATATACGCAAAAATTGTGGAGAAAATACAGGCAGAAACTGATACTGAGTTTGCTATATATAGTATTAATGTAGGAGGGGAGAAACCCATCCAAGTTACAGTTACCAAATTATATAAATTCCACCGAAATAATACAAGTACCTCTCGGGAATTAGTCCTAAGCGAAAGGGGAGAAGCAGAACCACAAATGGAAAGTAGTAACGACAATTTCGACATTCAAACTGTATTGCGGGATATACGACAGAACTTGACGCGAGCATGGAAATGTTTAGATGAGGTTGAAAGAAGAAGAGTTCTTAAACGACTTTTGTTAAGATGGCACCCAGATAAAAACCCACATAATGTTCAGCAGTCAACCGAAATCATGCAACACATATTGAACTATGTGGACAGATTGAATAGAGGCCTTAGTTTAGATGAAGAATCCGTTCCTGATGATGAAACAGATGGTACAAGAAGATCACAACACAATCGTTCATATGAAAGGTTTTACAGCAACGTGCATTCGACAGGTAAAAAGCACGCAAAGCATAAGGAAGAACAAAGATCCAATAGACGATATTACAATGATAATACTTTTCACAGATCGGCTCGAGATGAACCAAACCCATCACCTGGACAAGCAGCACGATGGCTCAAGCAAGCAGATTGGGACTTGAAGGCAGCGGTGCAATCTCTGTCTAGTGGCGCAAGCTCACATAATTGGATATGTTACAAATGTCAACAGGTATTTATGTTCTTGTGTCTATGTGTCGTTTTAAAAGAATTGAAACAATTCGTGCAAATAATTTAAACGGTCTAAAGAAAATTGGGAGTCACGGTGGCTGAGTGGGTAAGACGCTGGCTCGGAAGCCTGGAGGTCGGATGTCCGATCCTTTCATTGACCGAAAAAGTTCATCCAGATTTTCCCGCGTGGTTCCCTCTTGTCAGTGATGCAGAACGGAGGGCCTGGCAAGTACAGCTGTCGTTCGGATGGGACGAAAAACGAGGTCCCGTGTACACATTGGCGTGCACGTAAAAGATCCCTTGACAGTTGGAATTCGATATAAGAGTAGGCCGTAGTGCCGCTGTCCGGGCAAAATTTCCCTCATATAGCAAAACAGTAAGACGTTAAACCCAATTTCATTTAAGAAAATTGTCTATTACTAAACCGCCAAGAGAATATTACTACAACAAAACAACAAAAACTTACATATCCCAATGAATTAACATATTTATATAACTTTGTGAAAATACATTCTTTATTATAAAAATGTGTAACGTGCAGACAACAACGACCTTTTTATTTGTATTTATTCAGTCAGCTGAAAAGGCTTTGAAAGCTGTATGGTATAAAATAGATGCAAATAAAGTGACTCGGGACCATGATTTGAATCGTGTTGCCAATGGGTTACCGTATCCTAATCTTGTACAATTAGCAACAGAACTACAGTCAACTATTGGAGAATATGCCGGATTTAGATATCCAGACACAGAGAGCTATCCAAGGATTCCACATGATGCTTATAATAAAACACATTCCCAGCAAGCTTGTACATTAGCAGGACAGATTATAAGCATAACAACAAAAATAATTGGTAAATGGTAAGAATAAATTTAATTATTTAATCATTGATCAAGCCATGATGTAAGAACGTTTCAAGGGACATTTCATCCTATGACTGTTGGCACCTATCATTAGCAGTTATAAAATACCGAATCACTATGTTCTGCATCACTGACAAGAGGGAACCACGCGGGAAAATCTGGATGAACTTTTTCGGTCAATGAAAGGATCGGACATCCGACCTCCAGGCTTCCGAGCCAGCGTCTTACCCACTCAGCCACCGTGACTCCCAATTTTCTTTAGACCGTTTAAATTATTTGCACGAATGGTTAGCACGTGCTCGCTGTATCATAAGGTCTGTCCTTGAGTCAACTGGCCTGGTTTCGATACCCTGGTTGTACGTGACAAGGAGTAGAGTCGCCTGTCCATCCTCGTGGATTTTCTCCTAGTTCTTCGGTTTCACCCCACTGCTAAAGACCCCTACGCGAAAGCGAATTATTGAAAAAAAAATTGAACCTAGTTTGAGTGGACGTTACTCTCTCTCTCTCTCTCTCTCTCTCTCACTCTCTCTCCGAATCACTATCCGTATAAATATCCGCACGAAAGGCAATGGGAGGGTTTAATCTTCAATTATCATGCTAATGTTATATTCTTGTTCAAATACTGTAAAGTGTCAAACGTAAATTTTTTTAATAATATTTCCTTTTTTTTGACAGATAGATGAAAATAACTGTAGAGAGAAAGCAGTTAAAACACCGATCAATCTGATTAAAACACAGATCCTATTTCGTTTCGTTTTTTATAGTTCAAAATTTCGTTTTACTTGTCTTCACTAGGATCTGGAAGAGTTGTTGTATTACCGGCAATTTCCTTGAAGTGAGGGATTAGCCAATAAATCGGTCTGTACGAAATTGTGGGTAAACCACTAGAAACGTTAGCGCTGATTAATTTATCAGTGTCTGACATCATAGGGACAAACGTCGCTCGTACGACCCCTGACGCAACCTTCCAGTACATCTGGTTAGATCTCCATGTAGTGTAGACCATCCAAAGTATAAAAAAAACGAAACAAAATATAGATCTGTATTTTAATCAAATTGTAATCACAATGTTATTTAAATACTTTAGAAGAGGCGTGGCCAACATTTTACATTCCATGCAACCGTTTGTTCACAACACGAATTCAGATGCGACCAGGGTGTGCTGGCAGGGAGTTTAGGAGGACGGTGTCCTCCCAGGCCCCCATTAAACAATAAGTCCACCGGTATAAGCGGGCCCCCCTGAGAGCTCTAATTTTCACGCGGAATCCCCTCAAAAAAATTATGCAAATGTCTGTCACTTTAAGGTGAAATGGTCTTTGATACATGTATTCATGCCTCGATATGTATAAGATGCAATTTATTTTTTGGATAGAAATACATTGTATTAGCATTATATTAAGCAGACCTGTCATGAGTGTCTTGTGTAGTACAGTAGTATGTCTTATTGTCAAAATAGCAGCATAAATTTGGAAAATATGATACCTAGATTTCTCCCAGAAGTGCTTGCAAAACGCGTTTCCCGTTGTCAAATTTCAAAAATTTTCTGGACCCCCCTACCAGCGGCGCGCCGTCCTCCCGCCCCCCTTCGGGGCCAGAACGCCCCTGGATGCGACACACATCAACTGTACAGCCGTCTACTTTTTGTAAAAAATATGTTTTTAGACATAATTAGCATTTTACATGATAAAATTATTAAATATTAAAAACAAAAACATCTGTTAAAACAGATAGCCAGGTTAATACCAAATAAGATATTCACTATAAAAGACAAGCGCGAAATAATAAAGTCGCTAAACATATTGAGTCGGCTTACTGCCTTACTTGTCAGTGAGGCAGGACGGAGGGCCTGACAAGGACAGCTGTCTAGTCGTTCGGATGAGACGAAAAACCGAGGTCCCGTGTACACATTGGCGTGCAAGTAAACGATCCCTTGAGAGTTGGAATTCGATATAAGAGTAGGCCACAGTGTCGCTGTTCGGGCAAAATGTCCCTCATAGCACACCGTATGGCGTATGCCCGTCTTCATTAGCCGAATTCGGAACAGAACAATAGGACATTAAGCCCCATTTCATTTTATTATTGTCACAGAGATGTAAGGTACCACTTCTAATCATCCAATGTGCCAAAAGTTGACCATCCCTGCTCTAGATTATCAAATCTGTAAGTTAATAGAATATTATTTATTTAAAAGTCATTTATACGACTTATATTGAATTTATCGTACATAGAACCATATGAAGATCGAGTCCCGGGGAAGAACGATCTAGGTCACTTTTTCAATGAACCCCAGTTAATGGCGCCATCTGGTAGCAAATTGTATAAGCTTTCTGTGGAACAATCTATTTCGGGTAAAAACAATCGGAGTCACATCGAACCAAGGCCCTTCTTAAATGGCCTCCCGGACAAATACGTCCATCGTACCCTTTATTTAACCTTAATTCGGCTGAAAAGTGGAAGTCAGTTGTTGTACTGGTAATTATGATTTGTATTAAACATCATTTTGAAGTCGTAATTAAACCCACTCATTGTTCTGTTCAAGAATTCTCTTCCAAAAGTCTGTTTTGTAGTTTGTGCGAAAAGACAAAAATGTGACTTAGATCATTCTTCCCCTGGACTCTTCATATGTTTTCCTGCGTTAATTTCAGAGTAATTTGTAAGGATTTATTCATTGGGAAATGGAAAATAAGAACCCCATCAAAAGTCGTGTATTTCGGTGCACAAATCACTGTGTTATTAACTGTTACAATTTGACTTTTAAAGCATAAGTATGGCATAGAGTAGTATTTTGGTTAATTTTTTGTGGTCAGTGGTGGTATACGAACTAATCTTATTGTAGTTTTGTTTCATCTTGCGTTTGATTCTTGGTTTCTTCTCTCTCTCTTTATTCTAAAATAATGTGTTATTAATACTTTGTTTATTCTAAGTAGTAATAACTTGTTATTATATATAGTTTATTCTAAGTATTAATGATTTGTTTGGTACTTATTTTTATAGTGTATGTTAATTCTAGTATATTATTAAAATAACATTGTGTCAATATGGTATACCTACGAATTTTGACAGCCAAATTAGGTCAACAGTTCTCCATTTGGAAGGCCAATATAGAGATTAATAAATATTCCTTTATTAAAATAGTCCAGTCCAATGACTATAGTTAAAGATATATTATGGGAGATTAGATAAAAAGCTAGCAGTTCTCACCATGATAGTTAAGAACTAGATAATATAAAGGGAATTTTCTGAAAATTTCAGTCAAATTGGTCAAATCTGAACCGAGAATTTAGCGATTGGATTTTCGACCTAGCCTCGATCATCATAATGTCTAGTAGTTCGGATGGGACGAAAACCGAGGTCCCTTGCACACATTAGCGTACACGTAAAAGAACCCTTGACAGTTAGAATTCAATATAAGAGTGGGCCCTAGTGCCGCTTTCCGGGCATAATTTCCCTCATAGTGCACAGTCTGGCAGAGCAGAACAGTAGGACGTAAAACCCTATTTGATTTAATTTCCTTTCATTTCATTTCCTAGTGCCAGAAAGTTGTCGAGGGAGTCACGGTAGCTAGTTGGTTAAGACGCTGGCTCGCTAGCCTGGAGGTCGGGTGTTCGATCCCTGCATTAGCCGAGAAAGTTCATTGGGATTTTCCGACGTGGTTTCCCATTGTCAGTGGTGCAGAACGGAGGGCCTGGCAAGTACAGCTGTCTAGTCCTTCGGATGAGACGAAAAACCGAGGTCCCGTGTATATATTGGAATGCACGTAAAAGATCCCCTGGCAGTTGGAATTCGATATAAGAGTAGACGATAGTGCCGCTGCGCGGGCAAAATTTCCCTCATAGCACACTGTATGGCGTATGCCCGTCTTCATTAGCCCAGTCAGAGCAGAACAGTAGGACGTAAAACCCTATTTGATTTAATTTAATTTTATTCCATTCCCTTGTGCCAAAAAGTTCTCGAGCATCAAGAATGATTGAGTATCGTGAAATGTAATAATGTTGTCTATAGGGAATTCTACTCGATTATCAAAAAATACCCAACGTATTCTTGATTACCTCTTACATTGATGATTGTCATTTAAAAAATAAAAATTGGATACCTTTAATGTAATTTTGAGGAGGCCCTGGGAATTAAATACAAAAAAAACATGTTAATAGTTTTACATTGCATTTGACACCTTGCTGATTGACGGTTACATGTTCCGGTTTTGTTTCAATTTCTCTGTTTCAGCCCAAATCGCTTCATTCGCCGTGGGAGGTTGGATGCCCGAATGGTCTAACGCGTGAGTGGCTAAGTTGGTAAGAAGCTGGCCCGCTAGCCTGGACGTGGCGTGTTCGATCCCTGCGTTGGCCGAGAAAGTTCATCGGGGTTTTCCGGCGTGGTTTTCTATTGTCACTGGTGTTGGACGGAGGGTCTGTCTCGGATGGTACGAAAATCCGAGGCCCCGTGTAACATGGTTTCCTATTGTCACTGGTGTTGGACGGAGGGCCTGTCTCGGATGGTACGAAAATCCGAGATCCCGTGTAACATTGGCGTGCACGTAAAAGATCCCTTGGCAGTTGGAATTCGATATAAGAGTAGATCATAATGCGACTCGGTGAACGAGGCTAAACATATCCTACAAGAGAATACTACTTGTGTAGACTGGAATAATCAGACACACCAAAGACTGTCACTCATAACTGATTAGAAATTAGAGTAAAAACAAACGATTGTAAGGTTTAATTAGTTTATATGCATGCATATTGAAATGAAGCGACTCGATAAACGAGGCTTAACATATCCTACAGGAGAATACTACCTGTTTAGACTGGAATAACCAGACGCGCCATCAACTGCCATTCAGAGAGAGAGAGAGAGAAATGGGGTTTAACGTCCACTCGACACGAACTAGGTCATTTCGGGACTAACATATGGTTTAATTTTATTTCAATAATTCGCTTGTGCGTAGGGGTCTTTAGCAGTGGGAGGAAACCGGAGGACCCGGAGAAAACCCACGAGCTTGGACAGGCGACCCTACTCCTTGTCACGTACAACCGGTGATTCGAAGCCACGCCAGTTGACTCAATGACAGACTGTATGATAAAGCGCGCGTGTGAACCATTTGGCCATCCAACCCCCCAACTGCCATTCACTTTGGACTCTTCGCGTATTTCGTCGAACATAACTGAATAGAAGTTATAGTAAAAACAGAAACGATTAAATGTAAATCAGTTCATATGCATGCATATTACATTATTATATGCGTTGCTACCCATTTTTATCCATTTCTAGGTGCCAAAGAATAGAGATTTAGCTACTTTAAGCTTCGAATGCTGTTAACAAAATATTAGCAAAGCCCCCCCCCCCCCCGCAAAAAGTTTCGTCCCCCCCCCCCACCCGTGTAAAAACATAAAAACAATATATATACATTGTCCGGCAATTGTGCAGCACCCCCTGAGAACACCTCCCGCCCCCCTCTTTGCTCTGAGCTAGTTACGTCCCTGTGCAAGCATGGAAGTAAAATTTAAGCCTGTCTGATGCAAACAAGATATAAGCAAGCATGAACTGGGACCACCGCGACTTTAATATTTGATCTGTAACCATAGTGATAACGTAATTAAAATATTACAGCAAGTTGCCTTTTCTCAGGAATAGTTCTAATGTTTGCTCTATGGCATTCCCTATTGCACTGGCGAGAAAATTTCATTATATGAAACGAGATTAGTTTATCTTGAATTCGACATGGGTAATCTAATTTGGCTATTAATGCACGGAGAGAGAGAGAGAGAGAGAGAGAGAGAGAGAGAGTATTGGTGTGAAGAAACTTGGGGACCATGCGAAACAGCAGGTCACCCATTAGACTACTATCTCCGCCCCCTTAAAGACCCCCGCCCCAATGTATCCTGCACACAGAGATTCATATACTTTATACTTCGAGAATAGATCTCTGCCCTAAATGGCCGCCATATCCAAAAATTAGTATACTGTTTTGTAATGCGGTTCTACTCCGTTTGACATCTGTCATACACACAAAGACTAAATAAACTTTTTTTTTTAATTTAACTAATTGAATCAGAATAAATACTTAAAGGAGCTAAATCTCTAATATTTGGGACCTAGAAATTGACCCTAATGGGTCGCAACGCATATAATAATGTAATCTGATTGTATATAAACTGATTTACATTCAATTGTTTCCGATTTGACTCTATTTTCAAATCAGTTATGTCCAGCGAAATACGGCATGCGTCTCAATCGAATGGTAATTTATAGCGTCTGGTTATTCCAGTCTATTGCGCATGCTCTCCAGATAACATATCGCGTTACCGTTTAACAGGAGATGTGGAATATGTCTAGCCTCGTTCTTTCTGGTCACTTGTTACAAATGACGCTTAAACGCACTATGATACACTATGGTACCAATGATAAAATGTTATTTTGTCTCAAATATTGGATATCAGAAGCCTACCTTTTCCCGGTAAGATCACAACATCAATGTTTATTTGAATTGACAAATAATTCGTGTTTTCAACGCGTAAGACATTGGATGATATTGAGTTAGAGACTTAGCTACTTAAAAGGGGCTAAATAACTAATATTTGGGACCTTAAAATGGGCACAAATGTTTCGCAACGCATATAATACTGTAATATGAATGTATATAATCTGTTTTTACTGTAATTTCTAATCAATTATGTTCGACGAAATACACCAGAAGTCTCAATCGAGTGTCGATCTCTAGCGTCTGGTTATTTCAGTCTACACAGATAGTATATATTGCGCATGCTCTCCAGATAGGTATAGGTCGTCAGCGTTTGTCAGGACTTGTAGAATATGTCTAGTCTCGTTCTTCGAGTCCCTTGTTACAAGTAGCGCTGAAGCGCATTATAGTACACGGTAAAAAAAAATTTTTTGTATCAAATATTGGATATCAGAAGCTCATCTTTTCCCGGTAAGATAACAACATCAATGTTGATTTAAATTGACAAATAATTCGTGTTTTCAATGTCGAAAATTTTAGATGATATTGAGTTAGAGACTTATCTACTTTAACAAACATCTCAAAGAATACATAGTGTTTTCGGCTAAAATTGTCGATATAGAAATTAAAATGTCGGTTAACTAGCTTAGTGTCTGTTCTCAAGCGGAGCTATCTGTAAACAGACAGACTAAGTTTAGTACATGCAAGAGGAAGGGTGCTATGATTAGCGAGCAATCTGATTAGAATACAGATCTATATTTCGTTTCGTTTTTTTATACTTTCGATGGCCTACACTACTAGTCTCTATCATCCAGAAAAATATTCTACGAATATTAGTCTGGACAGGTTGTCAACATTTGAGAAAAATTGGCTAGATAATCCGGTCTTTCACATTATCATAAACAATGTCTAAGGGAGGTAACTCATCTTAAAACTAGGTGTTTACGCCCATGAAATTAATTTAGGAATGTCATTTCAAAAAATCCATTTGATTGCATGCGAGTTCAATATCTAACACTCTTAATTTTTTATTGTAAAATTTCTCTCTTCATGGGCCATATCTATGCTTTTAAAATTAATCCTAATTCGTCGTTTATGTTTGTTTATATTAATGCAAGAATTATGGGATTTATTGTGGGAAGGGGCGCAACTATTACTTGACTTGGCTAAAGAGACTGGATAATCAACCACATTAAAAACCAAACTCCCTGTTACGCATGGGCAATGGACTTTACGTCAAATATTGACAACCTTCCCAGACCCTCCGTATGTTGAAGACTAGGAGGTTCTGGGTGACCGAGACTACTACACTACATGAAAATCTGGGGCCTGTTTCATGAAATTTTAACTAAGATAAAATCCAAATTTTAGTAATTTGATTGGATAATATTAGACTGATTGTAGTGCTTAGCCAATCGCAATTGAAGTATTTACTAAAATTTGGATTTTATCTTTAGTTAAGATTTCGTGAAACAGGACCCTGACAAGTTATAGCGATAGGTCACGTCAGGGGTCAAAAGACCGACTTATGACCCTATGACGTCAGACATTTGATTAACCAATCAGCATTGATGTTACTAGTGGATTACCCACAGTTCCGTGAAAAACACGCCTAAAGCTCGCTGTAACAGACCGTCTCATTGGCTTATCCCTGACACCATTCAGAACACGAGTTAA